GATCCACCTCCCCCCATCGATCCTCGACCCTCGACCCTCAACGCTCGACCCCCCCTCGATCCTCCTCCCCTCCCTTCCTCCTTTCATCGATCCCTGAGATCCGGCGTTGCCATCACGACAAGAGCCCCTGACACCATCATTCTGCATCATTTCTCGAGCTGGATCGATATGTGAGGGTCCTGGGGCCCGAAACTGAGCGAAAACGCCGAGTGTGAAGAATTGCAACGCCAGGATCTCAGGGATCCTGGAACTCCTCCCCTGCACCAAGACGATCGCCACGCTGGCCGTGAGCGCGTGTGACACGTGCGGGTTGCTCTGCACCTCCCGGCCGACCCGGCGGGCCATCGGCCTTCCCTGGTCGTCGTCCTCCTCCTCCTCCTCCTCCTCCTCCTCCTCCTCCTCCTCCTCCTCCTCCTCCTCCCCGTGCCGATGGCTTCCCGCAGCCTATGGGGTTCGACTCTTGTGAGGGACGCACGGGGCGCTGGTAAGGGAGTGCACTTCTCGCACTCCCGATGAGCACCCTCACAAGCACCCCTCAGGTTAGGGAGCTGGGGCGATACCAGCAATCCTTCTTGCATCTTGCCTTCATTGCTGCTACCCCGTCCTTCTCGGCCATTGTGCTACCCTGCTTGTCTTGCTCTTCCCAGCTCATCCCGCTACCCCTACCACCGCCTGGGAAGACCAAGGCGCGGGCATCCCAGCCCCTTTCAGCGGCCCCTCCCGCTATTCCTCCCGCTTGTTTTGACCCACCTGCTCTACAACCGCCCAGGGCGGCAAGAATTTGTTTGGGCTCCCCTTTCGTCACCACCCTGTACTGCCCCATTCTTCGCAGGGGACGGGGGGGGAGACCAGGGACGGGGGGGGAGCTCAGGGAGTGAGACTACGTCCGGGTGGCCTTCGCCGAGGCATTTCACGCTGCTCCGGCAGTCGGCGTGGCGCAGGTGTGCCTCCTAGGAGGCGGCGTTGCGCACTACAACCTGGGACCATTGCAACAACAAAGGGCCTCGCCATCGCTTCATCCCTGGTTGGACACCCCACCCGCAATCCCGACGCGCACTCATCGCGTCAGTCGCCAGATCTCATTCCTCGTTTCCTGCACCCTCCTGTCGGCCTGCCCCCGCCCTCCCCAAACCCGAGCTCCTTCCCAACTCCCTGCCCCCTCCTATCTCTCTGCATGCGCCCTCCCCCAGCGCCGGTCGTCTCCATCTCCCATCCCTCTTGCTACTCCTGCCCCTGCTACCCGGCTACCCGCACAATCCTCCATATGTACCACGACAGTTTACCACATCTTATCTGCATTCTCTTGTTAACGCTTGCGTGGCAGAGCAATCGCGCCAGAGGATTTATTAACCCAGCACGCGCGAAAGCATGTTTGGTGGCCATCCCCGTCTGGTGAGAGCCCTGCGTGGCACGTGCGCTCCCCAAGAGCGAAGGGGGGCATGATTTGTCCGCCTCCGTGGGCCCCTTTGGAGTCGAAACTTGTAGTAGGCTCGGGGCGGAGCAGCGAAAATGTCACGAATTTCGGTCTGCCAGGGGGGAAACGTAACGAATTTCCCCCCGCTGGGTAGCAGAGAATTACAGTCGAGCTTCCTATTTGATCTCCTTAAGCCACCAGTCCATCCCTGTCCCCCGTCATCGGCTTATCCACCATCATACCCCTCGCTCCTACCCGACATTCTCTCGCTCTCCCCCAGTTTCTCGCTGGAGGCTCCAGTGCAGTCACCCAAGTTCCGACTCTACTATCCCCCTCGCTTGCCCAAGCAGTGGCCCTCGACAGCTATTTCTCGAATGGTGGCCGCCTCTTCTGCCCCCTCGGACAGGGGCAGCATACCAGCCCCTTTCGTTCACGGCGCCACGCCACACAGGGACCAGCCACCCTTAAGGCTGTGTATTCCGCCAGTATCCTCCTCCTCCTCCTCCTCCTCCTCCTCCTCCTCCCATTCTCCTCCTCCTCCTCCTCCTCCCCGTGCCAAAGGCTACCCGCATCCTTCGGGGTCGATTCTTGTGAGGGACGCACAGGGTGCTGGTAAGAGAGTGCTCTCGGGCACTCTCGACGAGCACCCTCACAAGCCCCCAAAGGCTAGGGAGCTGGGGCGACACCAGCGATCCATCCTTCATCCTGCTTCCACCGCTGCTACCCCATCCTTCTTTGCCATTGTGCTACCCCAGTGCCCTTGCTCTCTCCCAGCTCATCCCGCTACCCCCGTCTTTCCAATAGGCTCGGGCCTTCCTCCCCGCGGGGCGAAATTACTTTCCCCCGCAGGCCGTTGCCTACGTGCCCAACTTGGGATATTGGTATACTTTGTTGCCTGGGTTGTTCGCTTGCCCCGTCTTCCCTCTTCTCTTCCTCCCTCTGTCTGCTGCCCCGTCCTGCTACGCCTTTTTGTTTCCCCGGTATCCTTGTTCTTCCCTTGTCTTCCTGCTTCTCCGTTCCTGCTGCGCTCTTTCTTGCGGTGGTATTCATTTCTGCATCGCTGCTCTCCAAAGGTGTCTACTTGTTCATTCGGACGCCCGTCTGTGGAGCGGGTTTACAGCAGTGGCTGGAGCGCTGAGCTCCGGGTATCTTCTCCCTCCTTCTCTCCAGGACCGGGGCGGCGACGGCCCTGTCCTTTGGGACCGCCCTGCCCTTGGCCTCGTTGGGGCCCCTCGCCGGCACGGCTGGACGCTGGACGCAGCTCTGAGAACTCGGTCTGCTGCGCTGTCGGAATGCCTCCCTGGAGGCCTCCGGGCGCCTCCGGGAGGCATCTCCTTTTTGGCAGTCGCTTGTGTTTGCTTTTGGTTTGTCCTTCCTACAGGGAGGCCGCAAGAGCCGGTACATGGTGATATCCTGTCTTCGTTATAATGGCATTCCTCACCACGCTGCTATGCCACGCGATGTACTTCACGCTTGCACATCGATTAATTTCCTATCCCTTAGACGCGCCTGCGATGCGACATTTAAGGGGTTCTGCTGTGCGCCATTATCCTCTGCCGGCTTACTTCTGCTTCCGTCCCTGCCTCCTTTGTTCCTTGATTATGTTTTCCCTGTTACCCGCCCCCTCCTTCTTTTGAGATTCGCTCCACACCTTCATCTGTTCGCCCGCTTCCATGCACGCGGTCATCTTGAGCCAAGCGTTTATCACTAGCCTTCAAAGGCCAGGAAGCTGGGGCGCCACAGCCACCCCCTCATCCGTTTCTCCTCCACTGCTTCCCCTTCTTCCCCGGCCTCACTGTGGTCCCGTTTCCCTTGTTGTCTCCCTGTTCTTGCTTACTTCTCCCTCTCTTTCTCTTTCTCTCTCCCTCTCTTCCTCTCTCTCTCTCTCTCTCTCTCTCTCGCTGCGTGCCTTGCTCCTGCTCCTTCTCCTCCTGCTCCTCCTCCTCCTCCTCCCCCTCCTCTTCTTTTCCAGCCTCTTTCTTCCATGCCTGTTGCCCCATCATCCTTGAACATCCGGCTACCCCATTGATGGGCACCCGCCAGTGCCGCTCCATATTTGAAGCCCGTTGATCCCATTGCCGCTTTCACTCCATTTGTCGGGCCACTCGTCCATCTTGCATTCGGTCCTAACGGTTGTGACAGTAGACCATTTCAGGCTTCCCATCGAACCTGGAGGGCATTTCATCAGGCACGGCCCGGCTCCTCCATCTCGCGAAAGCGTGTCACGGCGTGCCGTCCCCGTGGCATTTACCACGTTGTGTGTGGCTCGCCCGTGCATCCGCCAGCGGAATGACGTTCAGGGCCGTTCAACATTCTAATACGCATGTGTCTCGCCCACGTTTCCGCCCAAGGAAATGCCCTCCAGTGGCCTCTCAACAGGCCGCTCAACCCTTACACTTGTGTGTGTGGCTCGCCCATTGGTCAGCCCATGGAATGCCCTTCAGGGCCGTCCAACACTCAAACCAAGATACAAGGGCGATGGCCGGGCGCAATAGCTTGCGCCACATTCTCACCCGCACCTTGCGCGACTTCGCGTAGCGTTACTTGTGGCACTGATGTCTTGCAGCCCCAAATCGGGTGTCCAAGCTTCGCGTCTACTCCCCCGTGCCATTCTCTCATATTTTTTCTCTGGTCGCCTGGACAGCGGGAAACCCACTCTTGTGTCCAATCAACCGCTCGGCTCACAGGCGGGGAGTTGCACGCACCCCTGCGCCCCTGAACTAGATTTCGCCGCCCCCAACTTCTCGTACATTCTCGCTCCGGTCTTCGCTGTATGATGCGTGTTTCCTGCTGCTGATTTTTTCTATCGGTCTCTCTTTCGTTCTCATTTCCTCTGCGATCTCACCCCCCAACCTCTGTGTCTTCCATCATCGCACTCCTCTCCGCTACCCGATATCCCACCTGCCTTCCCACCCGAGGCTCTCGCTGGAGACCCCAGCGCACTCGCCCAACCGACGACCATTTCATCCCCATTGCTTGCCCGAGCAGGCAAACCCACTCCCAAAGGGTCTCACCACCTGTCACAGGTGTCTCTCGAAAGGTGGCCGTCTTTTCGGCGCCCTCGGACAGAGGCAGCACGCGAGCCCGTCTCGGTTGGCGGCCGCCTCTTTTATCCCCCCACGACAGGGGCATCAGACACCACCGAGAAGTAACGCTCTTTACGGTGCCAACTCGCACAGGGGCCAGCCACCCTCAAGGCTGTGTAATCCGCCAGTATCCTCCTCCTCCTCCTCCTCCTCCTCCTCGTCCTCCTCCTCCTCCTCCTCCTCCTCCTCCTATTCCTCCTCCTCCTCCTCCTCCTCCTTCTCCTCCTCGTCATCCTCTTCCTTCTTTTCCTCCTCCTCCTCCTGTTCCTGCTCCCTCTACCTCCTCCTCCTCCTTCTTTTCCTCCTCCTCCTCATCCTGCTCCTCCTCTTCTTCCTCTCCCTCCTTCTCCTCCTCCACCTCCTCCTCCTCCTTTATAGATGGACCCTCCCTGTCGTACCCAGAGGCCGGTCGAATCGGCGGGCCAGACGTTTCGCCTAAGACTCCCTCACCATTTATGATCCTGAAGCTTTCAAAGTTGGCAACAGTTTCAGCGATGGAGGGCGGGTTGCTTCCAAAATGTGGCGCTCTCCTTAGTGCCGCGCACATTCGTTCTCAAGAACTTGCAAGAGCTCCACGATTTGAGGGCAGGTCGTGTTCAAAACGTGGATCTCGCCTTAACGCCGCGCACATTCGTTGTAGAAAAATTGCAAAGAGTTCCACAGATTGAGGACAGGTCGTGTTCAAACTATGGCTTTCGTCCTAGCGCCGCACACATTCGTTGTCAACATTTGCAAGAGCTTCACGGTTTGAGGGCGGGTCGTTTTCAAAATGTGGCTCTCGCCTGAGCGCCGCGCACATACGTTGATTCGCGGTGTTGGAGTCCCAGGAAGGGTGTTCTGGCACGATTCAGGATCGCCAAGACTTAACAGTCAGGTGAACTCGTGGCGTTGAAATCCTGAGAATTGCGTTTGGGCACGCCTCAGGATTTTCACATGGCTGTCCCCCAACGTGGTAATACCCTCAGTGGGAATGAACCCTTGCAGGGGCCTGTGAAGAGGAAGCTTGGAGTGAGGGTGTATTCCGACATCGTTGATGAGTCTTGGGTTTACACTGGTCCTCCTCCTCATCCTCCTCCCCATCCTCTCAGTCCGCCCCATCCTCATCATCCTCCTACTCGGCAGCAGCATCATAAGAATAAGTATCATCATCATCAGCATCATCACCACCACCATCATCCTCATCATCATCACCACATTAATCGTCATCATCATCAACAACATCATCAGCATCATGAGCATCATCATCGTCAGCATGAGCATCATCATCATCATCAGCATCATCATCATCAGCAGCAGCATCATCACCATCCGCAGCTTCATCAGCATCATCAGCATCTCATCACAACCACCACCATCATCAACGTCGTCATCAGCATCAGCATCATCGTCATCATCAGCAGCATCATCAGTATCAGCATCACCAGCATCATCATCAACATCACCATCACCATCGCCATCACCATCATCATGCCCGCCACCGCCCTCGTCCTCGGAGGACGACGCAGAAGAGTGCAGGGGAAGGGGTGGAGCGGGAAGTGGGAGAGGGGAGGGGAAGGCAGGAGCAGGAGAAGAGATAGAGAGAGAGATATATATGTATATATATACATATACATAAACACTAGGAACAATAAGATGGAGAAAAAGAATAATCATAAACCTACGACGAATAAGAGGAATCCGAATAGTGATAATTATCCCGGCAAAGCAACCTCACAGCGATGTGTAGAAGCATATCTGGAAGCATTCCCCTCGAGATTCAGTTGATAATCCAGTTGTAGAATTCTGCTGTTCTCGCAGTTGCAGTCGCATTCGCGATGACAGTCGCCGTGGCAACGGCAGTCGCAGTCACAGCCTCAGCCTCAGCCTCAGCCTCAGCATCAGCCTGCCTCAGCCTCAGCCTCAGCCTGCCTCAGCCTCGGCCTCAGCATGCTTCAGCCTCAGCCTCAGTCGGCGTTCAGCCTCGGCCTCAGCCTCAGCCTGCCTCAGCCTCACCCTGCATCAGCCTCAGCCTCAGCCTCAGCCTTCCTCAGCCTCAGCCTGCCTCAGCCTCAGCCTCAGCCTGCCTCAGCCTCAGCCTCAGCCTGCTTCAGCCTCAGCCTCAGTCTGCCTTCAGCCTCGGCCTCAGCCTCGACCTCAGCCTCAGCCTGCCTCAGCCTCAGCCTGCCTCAGCCTCAGCCTCAGCCACAGCCTGCCTCAGCATCAGCCTGCCTCAGCGTCTGCCTCAGCCTCAGCCTCAGCCTGCCTCAGCCTCAGCCTCAGCCTCAGACTGCCTCAGCCTCCGCCTGCCTCAGCGTCTGCCTCAGCATCAGCCTGCCTCAGCCTCAGCCTGCATCAGCCTCAGCCTCACCCTGCCTCAGCCTCAGCCTCAGCCTGCCTCAGCCTCAGCCTCAGCCTGCTTCGGCCTCAGCCTCAGTCTGCCTTTAGCCTCGGCCTCAGCCTCAGCCTGCCTCAGCCTCAGCCTCAGCCTGCCTCAGCCTCAGCATCAGCCTGCCTCAGCCTCAGCCTCCGCCTGCCTCAGCCTCAGCCTCAGCCTGCAGCCTCAGCCTCAGCCTCAGCCTCATCAGCCTCAGCCTCAGCCTCAGCCTGCCTCAGCATCAGCCTGCCTCAGCCTCAGCCTCAGCCTGCCTCAGCCTCAGCCTCAGCCTGCTTCAGCCTCAGCCTCAGTCTGCCTTCAGCCTCGGCCTCAGCCTCAGCCTGCCTCAGCCTCAGCCTGCATCAGCCTCAGCCTCAGCCTCAGCCTGCCTCAGCATCAGCCTGCCTCAGCCTCAGCCTCAGCCTGCCTCAGCCTCAGCCTCAGCCTGCTTCAGCCTCAGCCTCAGTCTGCCTTCAGCCTCGGCCTCAGCCTCAGCCTGCCTCAGCCTCAGCCTGCATCAGCCTCAGCCTCAGCCTCAGCCTGCCTCAGCATCAGCCTGCCTCAGCCTCAGCCTCAGCCTGCCTCAGCCTCAGCCTCAGCCTCAGCCTGCTTCAGCCTCAGCCTCAGTCTGCCTTCAGCCTCAGCCTCAGCCTTCAGCCTCAGCCTCAGCCTCAGCCTCAGCCTCAGCCTCAGCCTCAGCCTCAGCCTCAGCCTCAGCCTCAGCCTCAGCCTGCCTCAGCCTCAGCCTCAGCCTGCCTCAGCCTCAGCCTCAGCCTGCTTCAGCCTCAGCCTCAGTCTGCCTTCAGCCTCGGCCTCAGCCTCAGCCTGCCTCAGCCTCAGCCTGCATCAGCCTCAGCCAGCCTCAGCCTCAGCCTCAGCCTGCTCAGCCTCAGCCTCAGCCTGCCTCAGCCTCAGCCTCAGCCTGCTTCAGCCTCAGCCTCAGTCTGCCTTCAGCCTCGGCCTCAGCCTCAGCCTGCCTCAGCCTCAGCCTGCATCAGCCTCAGCCTCAGCCTCAGCCTGCCTCAGCATCAGCCTCAGCCTCAGCCTCAGCCTCAGCCTGCCTCAGCCTCAGCCTCAGCCTGCTTCAGCCTCAGCCTCAGCCTGCCTTCAGCCTCAGCCTCAGCCTCAGCCTCAGCCTCAGCCTCAGCCTGCATCAGCCTCAGCCTCAGCCTCAGCCTGCCTCAGCATCAGCCTGCCTCAGCCTCAGTCAGCCTCAGCCTCATCAGCATTCAAAATGTGGCCCGGGAATGGATTTCTGGGAACTCGAAGAACACGAAGTGGCCTACAGTTGGCTCTGGGCATTCAAAATCATGCCCAGGAATGGAGTTCTGGGAACTCGAAGACCACGAAGTGGCCTACAGTTGGCTCCGGGCATTCAAAATCATGCCCAGGAGTGGAGTTCTGGGAACTCGAAGACCACGAAGTGGCCTACAGTTGGCTCCGGGCATTCAGAATCATGCCCAGGAATGGAGTTCTGGGAACTCGAAGACCACGAAGTGTGTTACTGTTGGCTAAAAAAGGAATCCCCGGTTTTCCCCCGCATCCCCCGGATCCTGCCCAGACCCCCCTGGGGAATCAGGATGCTCTCTTTTGACCCCACTAGAAACCTATCAGTCTTCGCTGTTAGGAAAAAAGAGGAAGACGAATAAGAATAAGAATCCGAAGACGAAGACGAGGAAGAACAATAACAGGAAGAAGAAGAAGAAGAAGAAGAAGAAGAAGAGCAAGAATGAGGAGGAGGAGGAGGAAGAGGAGGAGGAGGAGGAGCATCAGCAGCAGCAGGAGGGCCTGCCTCCTCGTCGTCCTCCTCTCCCCCTGTGCTCGGCCGCGCCCCCCCCGCGGCCGAGGTGTCGAGGACGTCCGCGCACGTGGGCCTCTCGGCGGGGTCCGGGTGGGCCGCCTCCGGGGCGCGCTTCTCTGCCGGCGGCGGGCAGACGGAGGGAGTGGGGGGGAGGATCGGGGAGGGGAGGGAGGAGGAGGATCGAGGATATCGAGGATATCGAGGATCGAGGACCGAGGGTCGAGGGTCGAGGGTCGAGGGGGGGGGGGGGGGGGGGGGGTCGAGGGCGAGGACCGAGGGTCGAGAGGACCGAGGTCGAGGGTCGAGGATCGAGGGTCGGGGATCGAGGGGCGAGGATCGAGGACCGAGGGTCGAGGGTCGAGGGGGGGGAGGAGGGTCGGGGAGCGAGGGGCGAGGACCCAGGGTCGAGGATCGAGGGTCGAGGATCGAGGGTCGAGGATCGAGGGCCGGGGATCGAGGGGCGAGGATCGAGGACCGAGGGTCGGGGGTCGAGGGGGGGGAGGAGGGTCGGGGAGCGAGGGGCGAGGACCCAGGGTCGAGAATCGCGGGTCGAGGATCGAGGGTCGGGGATCGAGGGTCGAGGTGGAGGAGCAGGATCGAGGATCGAGGGTCGAGGATCGAGGGTCGGGGATCGAGGAGGGCGGAGGGGGAGGGGGGAGGGAGACCACTCGGAGACGTTTGCCGCCCAGACTGCAGATCTAAACGACGGCCAGCTGGCGACGACTGAGACTGAAACTGTACCCCTGGGCGAGAAGGAAAATGATTGAGGCACCGGGAAGAACTTTCTGACTCCGCAGTCGGCCAGTCGGCCCGTCGGCCAGTCGGGGAGTCGGCCAGTAGTTGGCCAGTGGACCAGTCGGCCAGTCGGCCAAGGACGGGGGGGGAGTCGGATAGTTCATCCCGGTGCCCCAAAAATTTGCTAAATGTCCTGGGCGGGCTCATCGCCTTCTGTGTAACGGGGGGCCGCTGGGGGGTCCACCAGGCCAGCTGGCCGTTCCCCTTTTGGGTGGAACCTCCCCCAACGCTGTGTCTTGTCAAGGGCCTCGTTGCCCGCGGCGGGGATGGGGTGGCCGCTGCAGGGCACGTCGAGCCCCACCCTCAGCCTGTCGCCAGAAGGGCGGGGGGGGAGGACGGGGAGGGAGGGAGGGAAGGAGAGGGGAGGGGAGGGGACGGGGAGGACCCAGGATCGAGAACCAGTTTCGCTTCTTTCTCCCTTCTTTTGGGGCGCACGTGGGGAGTTTTTTCTCGCCGTCACGGCCGGCTGCCCCATCGACGTCCTGGCCAGGACGCACCCCAGGACGGGACTCAAGGCTTAGGTCGGGCGTGTCCTCCTACAGTCGGATTTTGGACGAAAGATAAACAACTGTCAAAACATCATACAAAACGAATTCAAAAATAGTCGCAAACATCGTCCCCAGACTGCTTTTTGACTGTGTTTGAATATCCCTCCTGTAGAGGGACAGGCCCGACTTAGCTCAAGGCCGATGTTTGACCCCCGAACCTTTGGGTGACCCAAAAGGGGGTCCAGCTGAAAGGGAGTGGTGCAATAGATTTGGGGCAATCGTATTGCAGACGTACTGCGCTGGAGAATTGTATTGCATTGTATTGCAAGTACTGAAGCACTGCACGCGAAAACCCAGCAACACATTTGCGCCCATGGATGTACTGCGCGCCCCCAATCTATTGCAGCCCCACAAAGTCTATGGCACCACATCTACTGCACCGCCCCCTTGTCGCTGGAGCCCCTTTCGGGTCCGCCCGAGAACCTTCTTGCAGGGAGGGAGGGGCCCAGGGCCCCTCGCGCGCGTCGGGAGCAAGAGCGACGGAGGGTGTTCCGCAGACTTCGGCCTCGAGGGGCCCTCGCTCGATGGGCATGTTTTCCACCACCACCACCACCAGCGCCACAAGCTGGAGGGGGAGGGGGTCCTCCTCCTCCTTCTCCTCCTCCTCCTCCTCCTCCTCCTCCTCCTCCTCGTTCCCCCCTCCAACCCAAGAGGAGGAGAAGGAGGAGGAAGAGGGCGACCTCCTCCCCCTCCAACTTGTGGTGGTGGTGTAAAACAAGCCAATCATCACCTAGGGAGCCCACAAAAAACGTACGCGCCCAACCATGTACATGAACACGGCCCCTCGATCCGTGAGACCGTCCGCGTGATCGAAACCAATGCGGATTCATGTGCGCGTACGTCCTTCTTTCGCTCCTGATCACTGAGCCCCAGGACCGTCATAACTCGACCCTGGGTGAAAAGCTCGATCTCCAGGAGGGGTCGAGACCTCCAGGGATGCACGTCGAAAAAGAATATAAGAAAACATCTATAGAGAGAGAGAGAGAGAGACATTTACACACACACACACTCGCCCGGATTCTGGAGAGGAACGGAGGGAGGGAAGAAGCGCGGAGGAGAGTCGACCGTCAACGTCGTTCGCCACGCAGCCGAGGACAGGGAGAGGGAATTTGTTTGACCTCTACAGATCCACCGCATAGTGCAACCAGCTGGCAGGGCGGGACCTGCAAGCTGTGAGGAAAGAGGCAAACAACAGTGCCAAAGTTAGGCACCGTCGTCTGAGACCTCTTCCAACCAGCGCCTAAGAGACAGCTCGGGGCCAAGGGCCACAGGACGGTGCCCAAGCACTATGTGCACCTGCCACAACATCTCTAAGAGAAGGGGCAGGCACACGTGACCAAGGAGACCCCGAGCTGCAAGCGCAAAAAAGGAAGCCAGCTACAGAGAAACTGCAACTGGACGCTATCTCGTGCCGACGGCCTTCGGCTGTGCAAGAGGGACAACGGACGAGACAGCGCCCTCCCACTAGGGCCGCGATGGCACCAAGACTTGGAGGGCCGAGACCGTGGGACGCGCAACGCACACACGCACGAGAAGCGCGCCCAAACGCCAAAAAGAGGATGTTGGGGCCCTGAACCTACGCTCAAAGCCACAGCAACACCAGCCGAGCCACGGTCAGGATGGAGTCCTCCCCGTGCTCGGACCAAAAAGAGGTGCACCCAAGATGTGTGCGCACCTTCCCCCAGAGATGGGGTGCCTGACGCTCGTGCACGACGACGCATACGCAACGAGAGAGCGAAAAAAAACTAGCCAAAGAAAAGAATCGACCACCCACAAAAGGACGACGAGCCCGCAGCCCCTGGTGCAGCCAGCGCCAGGACGACCGACGGACTCGCCCCAGATGTGGGGTAACGCACGGATGCCTGCCAAAAGGGTCAGTCGCATCGGGCCGTGCAGAAGAGAAAGAGATGGCGTACCCTCGCCACAGGGAAAACTCGACCACCCACAAAAGGACGACGAGCCCGCAGTCCCTGGTGCAGCCAGCGCCAGGACGACATACGGACTCGCCCCAGATGTGGGGTTTAACACGGATGCCTGCCAAAGGGGTCAGTCGCATCGGGCCGTGCAACAAAACGAAGACGAAATGGCGGCCCTGCGCCAAAGAGAAATCAATCCGAGCTGTCCGACTCGTCCTGGCTGCGTCTCGCCAGGAAGGAAGGCGTTAGAAGTGGTCCCTGAGAAGGAGGCTGCGGGGATGCGTCCTCTTCGGCCTCTGGCCGACTCCGCACGCATATGCCCCCCCTCGAGGGGAGGGGCTAGCTGCAGCAGAAAGATCGCCCTTGCCATCACAAGGACGGTGCACGCACTCCTCTTTCCCCCCGTCAGTCACACCCTCCGAGTCCCGACCCACTCCAGACGGTCTATCGACGCCCTCAAAGACATACGAGTCAAAACAGGCCATACAGTTGTCAAGGTCGACTGTGACCCGTTCTTTCCGCTTGAAGTAGTGAGGGCGGTCACCGCGAAGCAGATATCGCCAACCATATCTAGCAGCACGCGACGGCGGGGAGCACATTTTCCGCCAAGGCCTCTGACTGAGGCCCCTGAAGAGTAGCACTTGCATCGTAGGCAGATGAACAAGACCGAGCCGTCGGAGCAATTGAAACCCACCGTGCGGTGATCCAACGCTTGCTGCTTGGCCGCATGCAACTTGGAAAAAGCCACACATCGCCCTGGAGGCGGGAAACTCCCTGCCCCTCGTCGACCCAGCAGACAGACAGCACACCTCCAAATGCCGCTCCAACGCTCCCACTGGTGAGGCACGGGGGGGGGGCTCGAAGAGGGAGCGAGCTCAGGTGGGGTGTACGGCACATCGAGGGACAACTTCGGCCATAGCGGCAGAAGGTTGGCAGCTAGAATGCAATACGCACGGGCAGCATCCACCAGACGAGTCACTTCCTCCATCTCCGCAGGGGCAGACGGGTGGAGCAAAAGGCCATGCTTGGCCCCAATGTCAGCATCAGAGTTCCCTTTGCGGAGAAACCTCTCACGAGCAGACAGGCCCTCCTCTTCCAGACTGAGATGAGCCTTGACCTTCACAATGTCCTCTACAAGCTGGCCGTCAAAGGAGTTGGCATGTAGGATCATGCCCGAATAGGCGCGCTTCCCCGAGTATCTTTCCGTCTCGGGGAGCCCACTTCAGGGAGAGGGAGGGAAGGGACAAGCGAGGGGAAAAAGGAAAGGTGAGGAGGAGGAGGAGGAGGAGGAGGGGGAGGGGAAGGAGGGAGAGAAAAAGTGTCGCTGACAGCCTCTTCACTGAGCGAGAGAATGAAAGTTCCTCGCCACTTCGCAGCGACCTTGTGGGGAGGGGGGAGCAGGAGGCGATGGGGACAGATGGCAGGCATCTGACAGTCCCCGTGCCCTCCCTGACCTCCTTCTCCCTCCTCCCTCGGCACCCAGACCCTCTCGAGTCATGAAAAAAACGACGGACGGCTTTTCTCCATATTCTGCCTCTGGGGGGCCCTGACCAGGCCTCGGGACCGTCGACAAACGACTCGGGATGAAAAACCGATCCTGGGGAGTGGATCCAGACCTCTGGGGGTCGAGTCATGGAAAAAAATAACGTCGGGGGTCTGGAAGGGAGGATGAGTAAGGGGTACACGAGGGCAAGGGGTTACAGTCAGTGCGACAGCCAAGACTCCTCTTGAGGGGTGCGAGTGCGTTCGGCGGTTTTCAAAGACTCTCCGATGGTTTCGGATGGTTCGGATGCTCTTGGAGGCTTGCGTATGGTGCTGTCAACGCATGGGGGGCGGATGTTTGGCGAATGCTGATCTCTCAATGCAGCGCCCACTGGCCGATATCACTGTCCGATGCCCTCGTGGACCCTACCAGTCGGTCCATTCGGATCTCCCAGACTCCACAGAATTGGAGATTTCCACGGTGCACCTCATGGCTTGCCGATTCCCTTTCGAAATGCAGCTGAGCAGCATCGCAGCCCCCAGGGGGGGAGGCGGAGGATCAGGAGGAAAAGGAGGAGGAGGAGGAGGAGGTAGAGGAGGAGGTGGAGGAGGAGGAGGAGGAAGAGGAGGAAGAGGAGGAGGAGGAGGAGAAGGAGGAGGAGGAGGAGAAGGAGGAGGAGGAAGAGGAGAAGGAGGAGATGGAGGAGGAGGAGGAGGAGGAGGAGGAGGAGCTGGAAAGGAGGAAGAGGAGGAGAACGAGGAGGAGTAGGACCAGGAGGCAAGGGGACGAGGAAGGGAACCCAAACGCCCCCCCGCGACTGCACTGGGGATACTCCGGGCACGGGGCGTACGGCCGGGAGCTGTGGGATAGCGTGTCGCCCCAGCGGCCCCGGCAACACGCCATGCCATGCAAGCGAAGAGCGTGTCGCTCCGCTCCGCGGGGCGGAGCGATGGGAAAGGCTCGGGGCGCTGGCGTTTGGAAAGGGGGACGAAGCACTCCTCCTCCAATTGCAGAATTCCAGCCAAGTCGCACGCTCCTCGAAATTCACTTGCACTGCCGCCTGACTGCGAAGAAAGGCGGGGCGTCGGAAGCTCCCAGCCCTTTGAATAGGGAGCCCGGGCTGACCCAGACGTGGATAGCGTGTCGCGCCGAAGCGTGGTGGGCCACAGCCTGCGCAGCAACACGTCACCCAACAGTTCCTGACAGGCGAGGGGAGAGCACGGGATCGACATTTTTAGTTCGGGCATGTCCTCCTACGGGCGGACTTTGGAGGAAAAGGAAAAATAGTCAAAAAATGATCAGCAATGGCCAAAAATGGTCGAAAAATCGCCCCCTGACTGTTTCTTAACTATTTTTGAATATTACTCCTGCAGAGGGACAGGCCCGACTTCAGTCTACATCGAGGGCGGGGGAGCGCCCGAGAAGAGATATCGGCGCCCTTGACGAGCCACGCCCCCACGCGCCCAGGGAGGGGCAGCGGGGGGAGGTGAAGGGGGACAGGGAGGGAAGGGGGGGCAACAGAAGGAGGAGGACCCTGAGATCCGACGCTGCGGAAAAAAACAGCCTCGCGAACCCATCGTTCTGTCCCCGTTTTCGAGCCGGATAGATCTGTGGTGAAGACGGGGCCCGAGACTCGGCGAAAACGCCTGATGTGCAAAAGAAGTAGCGCCTGGATCTCGGGGGAGTGGAAGGAGGAGGAGGAGGAGGAAAGGGAGGAGGAGGACGAGGAAGAGGAGGAAGAGGAGGAGAAGGAGGAGGAGGAAGAGTAGCACGAAAACATCAGAAAGAGGAAGAGGAGTCCCTGCCTTGAAGGCCGAGGCCGCGTAGCCCGCCACGACGACGTGCATCAGCGGGGTCAGCGACCTGCGGCCCACTGATGATCCCACCCTCGCCCCTCTCTTCTCTCCTCGCCATCGCTCGGACGTCCATTCCCCGTGCATCTTTCGATGTCGTGCGTGTACTCGTTCGCAAGATGGCCCAAGATACTGTGCGATGGCCCTCGCCGAATCAAAATGCACACGTCCGAGCGATGCCAAGTCTCTCGTCTATCCGCTCTCCAGTTACTCAATATGAATACTACTCTCCTCTCCCCTGAAACTCTCCAGGGCGTGGGCCTTCTCTGCGTACTGTTCTTAACACACACACACACACACACACACACACACACACACACACACACACACAAAGGATCGACCAAAGTTTGGTCGAATTGTTTTTACCCACCTGTTTTTTGCGGTGTCGGTTCTCTTCCCAGCCGCGTCAATCCCGCGCGAAGCCCACACCTCACCTACTACTTGGTGAATCCTCCCACGCACATGGGATTTGCGCTCCGACGCACGCCTCCCCCCTCCCCTTCTCTTTCTCACCATCACTGGCGCGCGCGCACCATACACAAACGAACATGCTGTCTGACGCAGCACGACGCCCGCACGAGACGCACGTACCCATCCGCACACGCATGATACACATACGCGAGACACACTGACGCGGATCGCACACATACGCACAGCACACATACAGCACGGGTACACACAGCGTGGCGATTTCTTCACACCAAAGGGGGTGCGCAGGGGGCGGTCCTTCCTTCACCGCTGTCCCTGTCGGTCTCAGGGTCGCGGGGCGTGGCAGGCGTGGTACTTCCTCCACACCAAAGGGAGTGCGCAAGGGCTGGTCCCTCACCGCGGTCTCTTATCCGTCTCAGGGTCGCCGGGCGTGGCAAGCGTGACACTTCCTCCACACCAGGTGGGGTGCGCAGGGGCTGGTCCCTCACCTCGGTCTCCATTCGTCTCAGGGTTGCGGGACGTGGTAGGCGTGGCACATTCTCAACGCCACAGTGGGTGCGCAAGGGGTGGTCCCTCACCGCGATCTCTATCCGTCTCAGGGTCGCGGGGCGTGGTAGGCATGGCGCTTCCTCCACGCTATACGGGGTGCGCAGGGGGTGGTCCCTCACCGCGGTCTACATCCGTCTCAAGGGTACGGGGCGTGGCAAGCGTTTCACGTACTCCACGCCACAAGCGAGGCGGAAAAAGGGGTCTGTCACCGCCGTCTCTGATCGAAACGGCAGCTTTGATGCTCGAGGCTAACTGCCGCAACCAAGGGCCACGCAGACATGAGCAGGGAGACGAAAGGAGTTATCCCGACAAGCTGGCGCGTAGTAGCAGTGGTAGCAGCAGCAGTAGCAGTAGCAGTAGTAGTAGCAGTAGTAGCAGTAGTAGTAGCAGCAGCAGCAGCAGCAGTAGTAATTCGCCGGCCCAACGGGCCAAAGGCGTGCTAAGATCTCCGGTAACTGCTAAACAATACTTCTAGTTCGCGCGCGCGGGGCGGCCCCTGGGGGTCCCCCGGCGAAAAGTACCCCGACCGCCGCCCGACCACTGCTACTCAGAGATGGTTTTCCTCCTGGGTGTGGCTTCTCAGGCCCCCCAGAGCGCGCCAAGAGTGCCCCAAGAGGCCCCCAAGACTGCCCAAAGGGCCCCCGAGACGCCTAAAGAGCGCTCCAAGACGCCGATGATGACCTCAAGACGGCCCAAGAGGCCTCCAAGTGGCCTCCAAGAGGCCTCACAAGAGGGCCCTGAGAGGCCCAAATCAGACATTTTACGATGGTTTTGAAAGAATTTGGGCCTTGTCCCCTTTTCGGCCATCCGATGCTCCAAGACGGCCCAGGAGGCCCCCAAGAGCACCCCAAGACGGGCCAAGAGGCTTCCACGAGGGCCCCAAGAGGGCCCAAGAGGGCCCCGAGACGACCCAAGAGGCGCCCAAGACGGCCCAAGACGGCCCCAAGACGGCCCCAAGAGGGGCCCAAGAGGGGGACCACGAACCAAAACCTCGAGCCTTCCGCCCCAAGAGGGCCCCAGGAGGCACCGAGAGACCCCAAAGAGGCCCCAAGATGCCGCCAAGAGGCCCCCAAGAGGTCCCACGAGGCCCCCAGGAGGCCCCCCAGAAGACTTCAAAAATGCCTCCCAGGCGCCCTCGAACGGCTTCTGAAAAGACCCCAAGAGGCCTCCCAGAGAAGCATCTTGACAACGACCCTGTTTGGCCCCAAGAGCAACACAAGATGCCAACGAGAGGCTTCCTCCTCCGCCCCTTCCTCTTCCTCCTCCTCCTACTTATCTTCATCCTCCTCATCTCCTTCTCATCCTCTCCTCCTCCTCCCCTCCCCTTCCCCATCCTCATCTTCTTCCTCCTCGGCGGCGCCACAATGGCCCCGGGCCCACGGCGAAGCAGTAGCGATCATGCAACATGGGCCGGCGGAATAAGCGAAGCGATTGAATAATCATAGCAATATTACTAGAAAAAGTAGTAGTAAGAGTAGCAGTAGTAACAGTAACAGTAATAGCAATGGTAGTAGAAGTAGTCGTCCTCGAAATAGCCGTAGTAGTCGTAGCAGTAGCAGTGGCAAGAGGAGTAGTAGTAGTAGTAGTAGTAGTAGTAGTAGTAGTAGTAGTAGTAGGCGTAGTAGTAGTTATAATAGTAGTAGTAGTAGTAGTGGTAGTAGTCGTAGTCGTAGTCGTACTCGTAGTCGTAGTCGTAGCCGTAGTCGTAGTCGTAGTCGTAGTCGCAGTAATAGCAGTACTAGTAGCAGTTGTAGTAGTAGTAGTAGTAGTAGCAGTAGTAGTTGTAGCAGCAGTAGTAGAAGCAATCGCAGAAATAATCGTAACCGAAACAGCCGCAGCAGTAGTAGCCGCAGTAGTCGCCACAGTCGTAGTAGAAGTCGCCATCGTAGTCGCAGTAGCAGTTGTAGCACTAGTAGTAGTAATAGTAGTGGTAGCAAGAGTAGTAGTAGTGGTAGTAGTCGTACTAGAAGTAGTAAGTGTAGTAGTACTAGTAAAACAGTAGTAGTAGCAGCAGTGGTAGTAGTAGTAGTCGAAGTAGCAATCATAGCAATACCAATCGTAGCCGTAATGCAATAACAGTAGTAGCATTAGAAGTAGTAGTAGTAGTAGTAGTAGTAGTAGTAGCAGTAGTAGTAGTAGTGGTGGTGGTAGTGGCGGCGGTGGTGGTGGTGGTAGTCGTAGCAATCGCCGAAGTGGTAACCGAAGTAGTAGTAGCTGTGGTACAGTTGCGTTAGTCGTAGTAGTAGTAGTAGCAGTAGCAATAGCAGTAGCAGTAGTATTGGTAGCAAGAGTAGAAGTAGTCGTGATCGTAGGAGTCGCAGTAGTAGTGCAGTAGCGGTAGTGATAGTAGGTACACTGGACGTAGCGATAGTAGTAGTAGTAGTAGTAGTAATCGTTAAAGCGGTAAAAATAGTACGAGAAGCAATCGCTGGAAATAGTAGACGTGGTTACCGTAGGAATGGTAGTAGTAGTCGTAATAGCAGCAGGAGCGACTGTAGAAGTAGAAGTACTGTTAATAGTAGTAGTAGTAACAGCAGTAGTAGCAGTGGCTGTACAAAAAAGGAGGGCAGTAGTGTAGTAGTAGGTAGTAGTACCAGTACTAGTAGTAGTACCAGTACTAGTAGTAGTAGTAGTAGTAGTAGTGGTAGTAGTAGTAGTAGTAGCAGTAATAGTAGTAGTAGCTGCTGTTGTTGAAGTAGTAGCAGTAGTAGCAGCACCCGTCGCAGTAGAAGTACCAGCAGCAGCAGCAGCAGCAGCAGCAGCAGTAGTAGTAGTAGTAGTAATAGTAGTAGTAGTAGTAGTAGTAGTAGTAGTAGTAGTAGTAGTAGTGGTAGTAATAATAGTGGCAGGTGGCTGTAGCAATCGGAGTATTGTACTAATAGTAGTAGCAGCAGCAACAGTAGTAGTAGTAGTAGTCGTAGCAGTAGCAGTAGTAGTCGTAGTAGTAGTAGTAGTCGTAGTAGTAGTAGTAGTAGTAGTAGTAGTCGTACGTGTAGTAGTAACCGTAGCGGTGGTAGTAATAGCAGTCGTCGTAGTAGTAGTAGTAGTAGTCGTCGTAGTAGCAGTAGTAGTAGTAGTAGAAGTAGTAGTAGTAGTAGTAGTAATAGTAGTAGTAGCAGTGGCAGTAGTAGTGAGTAATACTAGAAGAAGTAATAATAGTAATAGTGATAGTAATAGTGAAAGTCGTAGTTGTTGTAGTAGTAGTAGTCGTCGTCGTAGAAATAGTCGGCGTAGTAGTAGGAAGAGGAGGAGGAGTGGTAGCAATAGTAAGAATAATATGTCTAGGACTGATAGCCGTACTATAATAGTAGCAGTAACACGGTAACTACTACTGCTACGTCTACTACTCCTACTGCTACTACTACTAGGACTACGTACTACTACTACTACTACTGCTACGTCTACTACTCCTACTGCTACTACTAATACTACTACTACTACTACTACTACTACTACTACTACTGCTACTACTACTACTACTACTACTACTACTACTACTACTACTACTACGACTACTGCTACTACTACCCCCACTGCTACTACTACGACTACGACTACGACTACTACTACTACTACTACTACTACTACTTCTACTACTAGTACTACTACTACTACTACTACTACTACTACTACTACTACTACTACTACTACTACTACTACTACTACTACTACTACTACTACTACTACTACTGCTACTGCTACTACTGTGCTACTGCTACTGCTACTGCTACTGCTACTGCTACTGCTACTGCTACTGCTACTGCTACTACTACTACTACTACTACTACTACTACTACTACTACTACTACAGATGAAATACACGGGACTGAACACAGAGGTATTTTTGGGGGGGTCCTCGGTAGCTTAAGCCATACGTGTTTTTACAGAATGTGTGTTTGCCATGTTTCAAAACGGTGTTCCCGCTGCAGCGTGAGCCACAGGTCCCACAGCGCCCACAGGCACCACAAGCCCCACAGGTCCCCAGGTGTCGCAGGTCTCGATGGTCCCACAGGCCACACAGGTGTCGTAGGT